GTTTTTGATTTTTTGGTTTTTTTTTTTGGGAGTTTCCTAAAAAGGAAATTAGACGTGAAGTGGGAAAGAGTTTTTTAGAAGTTTTTTTTTGGTTTTTATATTATATATCAAATATTAAAAATCAACTTCAATATTATGAAAATTTGTTATCAAGTAATGAAATTCAAGATTAGATAATTTATATAACACAAAATTTTAATGAATTTACAAAAAATTGATGATAATGATTCTTTTAAAGTAGTTTTATTAAATGATAAAGATGATATTAAACTTTAATTTGTTAAAAAATTGATAAATAAAAAAAAATTGAAAAGAGTTTTAGCAATAGAAGTTATATAGATCTTATAGATCTTTTCAATCAAATGTTTATTGATAATGAAATTTATATAGCTTCAGAAATTAATGATTTTTTTGAAGATTTGAATAGTAATAATAATAATAATAATAATTTTAATATAGAAGATTTAATTAATCAAGTATTAGATAATAATAAGTAAATTAATTTTTTGATAGATTCTAGTAGTTTTTTATTAATTAATAATTTTTTTTTATAAATATTAAAGATAATGATTCATATGTATCAAGTATACATGTTGCTGAAATTCGTAGATCCTTGACGCAATTGACGCAATTATTTGATGCAATTAATTGAGTCACTATTAAAACATATAAATAATTGAGTCATGACGCAATTATTTTTGAGGATTTTGGGAATTGAGTTAACAGCAAAATAATTTATGCCACATGTATAGTATCAAGTATATTCTAAGAATTGTAAATCATTTTTTTTAAAATAAATAATTGAAACATATATTGAAAAAAGATTTTTTTAATAATTATTTGAAATATTAGATTGTTTTTGATAAAGTTTGATGTAATTACAAAAACAATAAATAAAATAGCTATTTAAAGGATAGGTGAATAAAGAGAAAAAAGGAAAAAATAATAACAAAAATAATAGTAAAAATAATAATAATAAATATCAAGATTTTTTTTTGAAGTTTTTTAAAATTGAAATTAAACATTGTTTTTGCTTCTAATAAAACTTTATTATTTTTTAATTAATTTAAATAATTAAATACTCATTTGAATGAAAATTAAATTTTAAATCAAATAATAAAATAATATTTATAATTAATATATTAATTAATATATAAGTTATTTTAAAAAAACAAAAAAATTTTAGAATTGAAATTAAATATTACTTTTACTTCTAATAAAACTTTATTATTTTTTAATCAATTTATATAATTAAATATATATTTGAAAGTGAATTTATATTATATATTTATATTATATTTATATTTTATATTAAAGAATTTTATAAAAATCAAAATAATTATATTAATTTTAATTAAAATAATTAAGTTAATTTAATTTTAAATCAAATAATTGTATTAATTTAATTTTTATAAAAATAATTGTATCAGAATAATTGTCAAAATAATTATATTGAATAATTATATTAAAATAATTGCATCAATTCAAAAAAATATAATTTGACTCAATTATTAAATTCTTTATTTTTAATTGCATCTGACTTAATTCAATAATTTCTATTATATGTATAATTATATAGAAGTCTTTTTTTATATATAAAGTATAAGTTAGTAATATGGTTCTGAAAATTGGAATTGAACAAAATTGCAGAGAATTGCATAAGGTTTAGAACACTATTAAAAATAATGGTGGAGTATATTCCACTTATTAAATTTAATATAAACTTGAGAATCGAATACAGAATTGAAGAGAATCATTAGAATTCTTAGTTAATAAAAAGTAATTACTTGATATAGATTATATTAATTATTAGTAAACTATTGTAAAATAAAATTATATTGTTTTATAGCAAAAACAACAAAGCTTTTTGCTAAAAAAACTTTATTATTATTTATTACATATATATTTTTTAAAATATTTTCTGTGCTATTCTTATTAAGATAAAGTTAAAGAATATATTATTAATAAAGGATTATATAATTTAATATTATTATAAATATTATATAGCAATTTGTTAATACTCGATTAATTAATTAATTAATTTATTTTTTTTGATAAATAAATATTATTTCTTTATTTATTGATATTATACTTAAAAGTTATATACATATGTGAAAGAAATAATATCTCTTGTATATAAAAATGTAACAAGTTAAATGCTAACTTGCCTATATATCTATATCTAGTTAATATCGAAAAAAAATTTTAAAACAATATTATATATGCTAAATATAGCTGAATAATAGCTATACCTACTTACTTAAAGTTTTTTTTGATTGGACATAAAATAAATAGGAAATAAAGAATAATTGAAAAGAAAAAAAAAACTGGAGCTATAATAACATTAGTTACTAAAACTAAAACTGAGTTATTTAAACTATAAAATCCATCTAAATAAAAAAAATATCTAAAAAGTGGCCAATAGTTCAGTTTTTGTATTGGTGCTGATCTTAAAGATGTAATCCTTATTAATATGGATAGTAGAATATAGTTGATGTTATTTGATGTTATGATAGTTATTGTTGTTATTGTTATATTAAAAAATCGAATTAAACAGTTCAGTTTTTTCTTTGTTATTTTAATGAAATCTGATTGGATGATTGAAGAGTGACAATTATCTGAAAAGAGTAAACTGATTTTGGTTTTTTAAAAAAATATTTTGAAGATTTTGAAATAATGCAGTAAATAGTGCCATAATAAGGTTATATGTGAAAATTGTATTAAAACAAACAATAAATTCAACAACATTGTTTAAATGTATTTTTTGAAAGGTGTTTGATTTAGTGAGTGTAATGATATTAATATGGATAGTTTTTATGATATAATAAAGAGAAGAAGGGATGCAAAAGAACAAAAGAAAAGAAAACTGCCATGAGCCTTTTCTTATGCAACTGAAGGATAAGCAAGACTCCCAAACATAAGTAGACTTTGACCAGAGGTTCCATCCCATTGCACTAGTTGTCTTGAAGGTTCTTGAGTTTTTGAGCTGGAGTTCACTTGCAATAAAAAGTGTAAAACATTTTTTCTTGCTTAAAATTACCATAAAAAAATTTTTTTTAACAAAATAAACATGATCAGGAGAAAGTTTATAATATTTAATATACTTGATTAATTTATTTAATGTCAAATATTAGATTTAAAACTTAAATTTTGATATACTATATATATTTGAAACCATTTTTATTAAATATATTAATTAAAAATAATTTATTTAATATAATGTTACTTGCCAATTATTCAATCAAAAAAGTAAATAATTTAATCCATAACATTTATCTATATTTAATTAAAAAAATTTTTTTCAAATCTATTGAATTTATTTTATCAAAATATTAATATTTTATGAATAAAATTATTAATTGATTTATTTTGTCAAATGGTTCAATTCTTGATTGATTTTATGATCAAGAACATTAATTTAGCAATAGAATGAATAGAAGGAATATGCAAATTATATACTTTTTATATTACAAATGCCAAACAAAATTACCTTATTATGTACTAGATACTTCGAAGAGTTTAATGTGTAATCAAATTATAGATTCTATTACAGTAATTAATAATGAATAATTTAGATATTACTAAAGATATAAATGAAAATGAAAATAATATAGTAAAGAAAAACTGCTGTATTAATTCCACATCGTGAGGATTTTGATGTTGAAGTATTTGCTAGAAATTGTTGATAGATATTGATAATTATGTAATATTTTAGATATTACCTCCGGGCGTTTATTGGCTAATGCGATACTTCGGTCATAAGTATTTCATGAATGAATTCATTTTGGAGTGTGGAAAAGTAGCAACTCTTAATATTATATACTTTTACGCGTTAATCTCGTTTTTTTATGTATTCAACACAGTTCGTTCCTATCTATGGTAGTTCATCTACAAGTCATCTTTTTTAGGAAATTCAGATCTACCTTACTTAGCCTTGCATATTCCAAGTTCTGAAATAAGCATCTACATTTTTTCGTTACACAGTTTACTCGCCAATAAAAATCTGCCACGATTCTTTTACTGATAATAAAAACACTCGAAATTTTCCCATTATTAAATATTTTGATATTTCTCGTCGATGTTGCATCATTTGATTTCGATAACTTCATTACTTCTGTTACTGGTGTCAGGTGCTCTGGCACTTTATGACAAGAATGGATCTGTAGTCATTGTTAACGAAAAAAATTGGTTGGATGAAGTTTTAACGACCGAGGTGGGTTAAATAACAGAAACTTAATATAGTCAAGCTATTCGCTCATATAACTTTTTTTTTTTTACTCTAGCAAGTAGTGGTGGTAGAATTTTTTGCTCCTTGGTGTGGACATTGTAAAAAGTATGTCCAATTAAGAGAGAATTCACCATTAAAAAATTTCAAATCATTTACCCGATTTTTTGATCAAACAGGCTTACTCCGGAATATGTCAAAGCCGCAGAAAGCCTTAAAGGTCTCGTGAAATTTGCCGCGGTAGATTGTGATGATCAATCAAATAGCAATGTCTGTACTGTTTATGAAATTAAAGGTAAAGGAAAAGTTAGCAAGTATTACATTTATTATGTCCTAAATGTATAATAACAAACGAATTTTAGGTTTTCCAACAATAAAACTTTTTCCTAGTAAAATGACTGAAGACAGAAAAAAACCAGGAAATTATTACAAGAAAGCTAAAGGTAACATGAGTTGTTAAAAGATGCATTCGTTTCTTTTTTGCACTACGCAGACAGAAGAATAAAAATAACGTTTTTATAGATTATAACGGACCACGAACCGCGAAAGCAATTGCTGATTTTGCTCTTCCTGAAATACCTTCTTATGTTCAACCCATATCTAATGAAAATCCAACGACGAAAACTTTGACAATTGAAGAATTTCTAGAAAAAGTTGCAATTTTTATCTTTTTTTTTTTTTTCAGACTTGATGATTATTAATTAACCTTTATCAACTTTATCTTAGAATGACACATTGTCAAAAGCAATTCTGTTTACAAATAAGGATCAAACAACCTATCTGTACAAAGCTTTATCTGTCGACTTTCATGATAGATTATTGCTCGGTGAAGTTAGGAAACGTGAGAAAATAATTAACAAAAAGTATGGTGTTAAAGAATATCCAAAGTTGATTGTTATCTCTAGGGAAACAGACGAGATAGTTGAATACAAAGGTCATCTTTTGAATAAAGTACAAATCTTCTTTCACTTTATTATTCACTACAAACTAATTATGAGTAAACATTTACTGTTTTAGGTGAACTGAAACATGCTTCTCTATACGCGTTCTTGAATATATACGCCTTGCCTAATAAGAAACCTAAATATGTCGTAAAAGAAAAGGATGAAGAACAATGTATGTATACCCAGTTAAAGTTTCTAATCGTATACACGTAATCGATTAATATCATTAACTAATTTCGCGACGATCTATTAAACTCAAAAGTCAATAACGAAATAATTGAAATCAAATCTCAAGCACAACTTGAATCCGAATGCCTTTCTAAACGCACCGGAATTTGCGTATTCACATTCTTAACTGTAGAACCCGAATTCCAAGAGTCCATAACTGAACATGAGAACAATCTTTCAATTTTGAAGAAAGTTAAAGAGAGTACACATAAAAAACATGAAGATGATAAGCTTCGTTTCAGCTTCATGTGGTTTAACGCGTTTAATATGGAAGCAAAAAATTTGATTAAAGATTTTAAATTGTCCGATGTATTTCCGAATTTGATGGTATTGAATCCGAATCGAAAATTGTATAGGCCATACTTGGGACCGTTTGATCAGGAAAGGATTGAAAAATTCCTGGATGATGTGACTAAAGGTAGAGGAACTAGTTATGAATTTAATTTCGAAGTTACTATGGATGAAAAGGATATGCAGAAAAAGGATGAGAAAAAAGGTCAGACTGATAAGAGTGAAGTTGAAAAGAGAGAAAACTTGGATGACGAAAAATGTGGTATTGAAGGAGTCTGTACTGAGGAAAGTAAGAGTAAGGAAGATGGTGGAAAGACCAAGTCTCAAGAGCGCGATGAATTGTAACAACCGATTAATTGACCCTATTTGGTGTTATATTATTCTATATCTAACGGATTTTAGCAGAATTTCGTTTTGCTTTTAGAAGAGGTCATTCTGTAGAAAATTTATCATGTACCTTTTCCTGGTGTCCTTGGAGCATTTCCCTAAAGAATATTCTTCAATCCATAAACAGAAATACTCAATATATAATCAAACATCAATTCTCATAATAATTGTTGAATTTTGACAGTACTTCTTGCATATATAGATAAAACTTGAGAAAGTATTTAGTTGTTATATTCTACTTTTCAAATGACCTTTAAAAAGTTATATAATTATATTAATAATTAATTTTAAATAAAAAATTTTTTATAAAATTATATATATTCTAAAACAAATCAATGCAATTTTCTAATAATATTCAAATTTTATTTTTAACTATATTATATATATATAATTTTTTATATGTATGATTTTTTTACTTAAACATTTATTTTAATAAATAATAATAATAGGTTAACAAATAAATAAAAATAAATTGTTTATAAAATTTATCACCTTCATGATTGGTTGACCAACTTCCAATACATGTTGTATCCAATCAGCCAAAAATCATTTATCAAATCAAGCTAGGCTGCATGAAGATGGGATCTCTGGTCTTTCTGACGATCGCGGATTAAAAACAGGTCAAAGCAAGAAAGGTTGCATGAGGCAAGACTTCTGATCTAACTCCGGTATAAGCCCACAACTCCAGCTGGAACAGCAGACTCCGTATCACTATCCTTTCTATTCAGGTTGGCTAGTTTCCTGATATAGGTCATACTCAATCAGCTAGTACCCCAAACTGGATCGGCAGACTCTGAAATTCGATTGGATCTTCATCTCCCTATTTGAAGTTGGCGTAATCCAGATTGGTGACTCAATTTTGGAAAAGAGTCAGGTCACAAAGCCAAAAAGGAGACCACTAGGAAGGTTTTTTACTGTTGGTACAGAATTTTCCTTACCTTATATTTACAAGTAGGAAGTCATAAGCATAAACCAAGGTATGGACCCACCTACTTGGTGTAAGTTGGTATTTTGGTAAAAAAGGATGAGTAGCGTGAGTTAATATTAGCAATAGTTAATAGACTGTTCATATATGGTAATTGTGATCTTAATTGATTTAGCAATAAAATCCATGCGTATATCGTAACTTAGCCCTTAAAAAAAAAAAAAAAAAAAAAACTTATTTATTATTATTGTTATTTGTAATATATTATATATTAATATTAATTCAAATTAAATTAATACTTAATATAATAGATTTACAGGTTTATACAGTATATATATAGTTTAATTTTAAAAAATAAAAAAAAATTTTTTTTATTCTATTATATTATATACAATATATTGTAATTATTTTATAATATAATAATTTTAATATCATTTTTTTATAATAAGTTTACAATATTATTTGTTGATATGGTTCTAAAAATTGGAATTGACAGAATTGCAAAGAATTATATGAAATTCAGAATACTATTAAAAATGATAATAGGGTATATCCCACCTATTAAATTTAATATAAACTTGAGAATCGAATATAGAATTGAAGAGAATCGTTAGGATTCTTATTTGTTGATTAGTTAATTTAATTAAAATAAAATTTGAAATTTTATTTATTTTTCATTTATAAATTGATTTAATTTATTAAAATTTTAAATATATTATACACATATATTTTTGAATTTCTTTTAATTATACAACATCTTACCAAGTTTTAAACAATTTCAAGTTAAAATTATTTAATAATTAATATAAATTATTTTATTAACCGCTTGCCGTACATCAAGCCAAAGCTGAAAAGCAAGTGTGCAAATCCTAATTATGATTTGAAGGCCAACCTGTATATTTGGCTGCAGCACCTTTATGTGTCTAAGTACCACACAAATTTGCCAGATCTAGGCTAGTCACTACTCAAGAACTTATAGAATTTTCATCATTTTTTTCTATTGCTTGGGTGATTAGTTAAACTAAGGTGAAATAACCAATTTTTTGTATCATGTATTAAATTTTTCTTAGCAAGAGAGATGTAGTTCAACCTTCTGTAATTATAAATATTGCTTTTCAGTAATCTTTTATAAATAAAAGAAAAGGCTGACGTCACCTTAGTTTTAAAAAAATATATATATTATTTTATTAAAAATATTAATAATTTTAAATTGTTTTGCAATCTTAAAATATATTTACAGTATAAAATTTAAAATTTAAAATTATATATATTATAATTTGTTTTATTATAAAAATTTTATCATTAGTTTTAAACAAAATATTTGTTTTTTTTTTTATATTAATATTTCACAGTATTATAATAAAGCTCAAATATTACTTTATTGAAAATATACAGTGTGAGTCAATCAGACAGGAACGTGACACCAAAATGTAAAGTTAAGTAGAATCGAACTTTAACTAACTTCTCTTTGAACTTTTGTTT